ATATATATATATATATATATATATAGGTTGTGCCTGGAGATTAGTACTAGATATATGAAATGAAAGACTAGCTTTTCATTTTAAACCCTTTTGTACTATAACATTCTTTCATGTTTATTTATTTATTTTGAGAGAGAAAGAGCATGAGCAGGAGAGGGGCAGACAGAGAAGGAGAGGGAGAATCCCAAGCAGAGTCCGATGTGGGACGTGAACCCACAAACTGCAAGATCATAACCTGAGCTGAAATCAGACACACTTAACCTACCGAGCCACCCAGGTGTCCCTGTACTATAACCTATTTTTAACTTGTAAATATTTCTTTAAATTACAAAATAGAAAAGATGAGAAATCTTTACCAGTGTGATGCTTTGCTTAAACACTTAAGAACAAATGTTAACACAAACACGAATCACCTAAAAGTAGCTCTGTCCTTGGGTCTACAAAGAAGGTTAAGGAAACGTTTTTGGGTTTTTTCTTCTTTTTAATTCTTTCCAGTAATTCAGAATTCTGTTGCTACAGAATTCTCACATGGCCTCAGTAGATAATCTCAATGAACAGCAGCATAATGACCCAAACAACTCTATAAACATAATTCAGTGGCTCTTAACCTTTCTGAGGAGGGGGAGTAATAGATACTCTTGCATACACTTCCAACCCTATGCCCTTCACGTTTTGAGAAATGTGATAACATTTAGAGCATTCTCTTAAAAATGCAGGTAACAAGTTTTATATTAAAAATTTGGGGTCATTCACACACCAAATCCCTATGCTAAAAAAATCCCAAATCTGGCCCTTGCCTATTCTATTTTTCACCATATTCTATTTTTCACCAGTAAGTGTCCTGACTTTTTTACTGTTCAGCGTGAAGTTCGCAACACATATCTCATCATAATTACTGTCTGCATAATTACATACACACTGCAAGGCATTTGCGGCACTACCTGGCTCATGGCAAGAACTCAATACCGAATGAAAGTATCAAATGAAAGAGATATGCATGAATTACATTCTAATTGACATTAGAAGATATGGCTTCAGAATTTTATTTTAAATTAAAAGTCACATAAAATGAGCCATGTTTATTAGGGTTCCGCTGAATTAAAATACTGAAGATTTAATTTTTCTTTAAGTTTTTTTTATTTTGAGAGCGAGCACATGAGCCCGCGAGGAGCAGAGAGGTACAGAGCAAATCCTAAGCAGGCACCGTGAGGCTTGAAACCACAAACCGTGAGATCATGATTTGAGCCGAATTCAATAGTCAGACACTCAACCAACTGGGCCACCCAGGTGACCCTTGAAGACTTAATTTAAGAGAACAAAAGTCTTCTATGATTTGATCAAATATTCCTAGAATTATGATTTATTAGGGATATCATAAGCCAACCCAAACTAAGTCCTCTGAATTGGGGTTAAGACGAATTTCCTATGGTTGTAACCTGGATCTCAGCCAATTCACTCTCCCTTTAGGAGTGGTTTATATTCTACATCAAAGACAAACTATATGCTTAAACAGGTATGAGCTAACACATGATGCCTTTATTCTTAGGTCTACAACCTTTACCATTCTAAGAGTTTCCATTTGAAATCAGATAAAACTTCCACTAAAGACAATCAAATTGAAGACAAATTGAATCTCGTCTCTTCTTTAGCTAGTAAAGCTTTCTTCACTTAAGAACACTTACCCTTAATTAAGTCAGCTAAAACAGAATGTGTAAAGGAAGGGAACTGGGAAAAGTCTTTTAAAAAAACACACAGAAATATATGTGATTGCGCTCAGTAGTACTTCTCCCAGTGAATGTAGCAAATCGTGTTCCATGCTGGGAAGAGGACTGAGATGACAATGGGACAAATCAGAGACAACCTGCTATGCAACATAACCCCTACATCCTATATCCTGTGGAGGAATTTTGGGAAGTGCAAAATGGGAGAGCTAATCCCCAAACCCTTTCGTGTGTGTGTGTGTGTGTGTGTGTGTGTGTGTGTGTGTGTGTACTTACATGCATACATGCATACTTAGACTATCTTTTCCATCCTTTCTTGCCATAAATCCATGTGACTGAGTTCTAGCTACAGGAATGAGAGTAGATGTCACAGACAACATATCTAAGACTGTCTCATAAGCCTGCCACAGGTGACCCTCCATGCTTTTCTTCCTTCTGTGGCTTCATTTAAATGAGTAGAGTGACTTCAAGAGCTATGTTTAAAAGATGGTTGAAGCAGATGATGCAAAGAGCCTGGATACCTGGAGTCACCACTTTGAGACCCACCTCCCAATTGGGAACACCCACTTGGACTTTATAAGAACAAGAAATAAACTTCTATTGTGTTAAGTCACTGAGTGGGGGTTTATCAGTTATAACAACTATCTTATCCAAAGTCATACATTTCCATATTTTATAGTCAAAGCAAGGAGAGGGTCACATAGGAAAACTTTTATCTCCTAATATCAAGAATTAAGAGTAAAAGTTGGCACAGGAACAGACACTCAGATCAATGGAACATAACAGAATCTAGAAATGGACCCACAAACGTATGGCCAACTCATCTTTGACAAAGCAGGAAAGAATATCCAATGGAATAAAGACAGTCTCTTCAGCAAGTGGTGCTGGGAAAACTGGACAGCGACATGCAAAAGAATGAACCTGGACCACTTTCTTACACCATACACAAAAATAAAATGGATGAAAGACCTCAGTGTAAGACAGGAAGCCATCAAAATCCTCAAGGAGAAAGCAGGCAAAAACCTCTTTGATCTTGCCCACAGCAACTTCTTACTCAACACATCTCCAGAGGCA